TGGCATCATAACGGCTGGCCCTCGCGCTACGAGAGCCATCTTTTAAACCTGACAGATATGGGCGGTGAATTCATTTGCATACACGACCCATATGTTTTTTTCATCCTTTTGCTGGCTCACATATACACTCATCAGTCTCATTCTGCACGTCTACTGAAAAATGCTTTGAAAACCAAGAGTGTCAAAAACTTTTCTGAAGTACAGTGTGGGATTGTCACAGCTGCCGGTCCCGCTCAAATGTTAACAGTGTGATTCTGACAAGAAACAAAGAGGATTTTTCTCTGTTTCCTCCCCTGCTGGTATAACTCCTGTCTATCACTGACCACTATCACGGGGCAGCGCTGAGCCTGCGCTAAGAGATGATGTCATTGAATTGCCTCACCTCTTTCCCTTTTATGTAATCAATCGCTCTGTACTATTCAGGTGTGACTGTAGTGTCCCAAATGCTAATGCGTGTGTGTATGTGCGCACGTGTGTATGTGTGTGCGCACGCACGCGTGTGTATGGTAACACTTCTTGTGCGTAAGCTTTATAGATCCTTCACTGTGTGTCTGGTTATAAAGAGACTGACCTGCAGCAACTGTAAACCTGCCTGGAGTAACGCCACAGAGGGCCGGCGCCGGGCACACTCATAACGCTATAGTGAAGACTCAGTGGTGTGTTCCTAGTTTCCATAGTTCAAAAGAAAAAAAAAAGTTTAAAAAAATCATCTACTTATTTTTTTTTTTTTCTCTGTGGGGTGATTTCATTGTACGCAACAAAAGCTTATCATGCAGAATCTGAATGAATATATGATCACAGTACATTTCTGAAATAAATTATTTTTCAATGTTAGCTTTTCTGGTGCTCAATTGCAAACTGGAGATGGAAGGACGGGAAGACAAGGTTGGGATGGAGACATTCAAATCATATAACTATTGTCACATAGACTAAAGCTTCATTCAAACTAAGGCTGAACAATTCATTGATATATTATTGAAATCTCAGGAGCTGCAATTATTTTGATAAAGGTAAAATGTGTGACGACATACCTTTTTATAAATGTAATAGAAAAGCATTGTGGTGCTACAAAGATACCACGGACTACAAATCATATTCTACAGATGTAAGGGAACATGCTTTTTTGGTATAAGACCCAGCAAAAATGACATCTTTTTTTTTTTTTTTTTTTGTGAAAATGAAAATGCAAAATTGATCATTGACACTAAAATTGTGCCATATAATGCAGTTGCAATATCTGTCAAAATAATCGCAATATGAGTCAGGTCTTAAAATGTTGTGTCCTCATTCATTTCAGTGCTGCTACAAAAGGATCCTGACAACTTTAGCCACAGCCCAGTGCTGCAAGGCCTCCACCACACAACATAGTCTTCTCATTTTCAGTAACACATACCTAGCAACGCCCCTTTCCACTGCAGACCTGCTGACTGCAATCACCACTCTTCTGTCACAGCGAATGAAAAAACATAAACATGGTGATTGCACAGCAGTTGTCTCCTATTCAGTAATGAATGTAACTCTTAGTTATATAAGTACGTATGTATCCACCCCCTGCCATCGGTCCACATCACAGAGTAAATGAAAGAATGCAAACACAATTACCATAGGGGATATAATCAAACCATGATTTGGCCTGATCACGAACAATACATTCTAACCAAATCAAACAAAATCCTATTTCATCTTCTCGTCGGTACCTGCAGCAGCACGTCCACACAAACACCACCCCCTGCGTTCTTTTGACATAGTGCAATTTTCAGTCTGAACATGGCTTTATTTAGTGTTTCCATGAAAACAAGTGAACGTGTTAAACACCCACGGTGCATAACATCAACTCTGACCACAATCAAATGGGAACCAAAACAGTTTACCAGCAAAAAAAATGCAAGACTGCACAATATCAGCAAAGTTGTGTGTGTAAATGTTTTGTGTATGCACATATAGGATGGATCTGTCAATGCCTAATTAGTTGATGAAATTCCACCTAACGTTAGTGTTTACTCAGGGCAGCAATAAATTGGATCAGTCCAGATGGTGTGAAATCCTGTTGTCTAGGTTTCAAATGTTCCCTCCTGACTTCTTCGTCTTCTTCTTTGCTCCCAGAAAACCACAATTCATCAGCTCATCAGTCATTCTTCAGTTAGCTAAACTGCCTTAGTTGGCGCTTTAAGCCCCTCCGACTGCACATTAAGTGATATCCATATGTATTTGGGGGCGTAATAAATGTGTTGAACAGAAACTTAGCAGAAGTAAGAGACACATACTTGCACGACAGAAGCACATGTACAGTTTCAGATGGTGTTAGATGCTAATTGGATCACAGTCAACTCGATCCAGGGCTAACCTACTAAACACATAGGCATGAGAAGAGAGGAGATTAGACGGGATAGGACAGAACAGGGAATTGGAGCGAGCGTGTCCAGAGCGGCTAATCCCTTTTTTGAAAACACATGGGAAATTTCCCTTTGACAGAGGAATCACAGACAGGAGGTATTTCGAGCTGAAATGTTAATTTCCCTATGTCTTTCTTTCTCTCTCTCCCTCATGACATGAGCGACAGAGAAAAGAACGAGCTGGTGGTCCTGTTAAAAAGGGAGACCAAGGTACTAAATAGCCCTGAGCTTTGAGAACCCACAGTTGAAATATTAAAGGATTCAGACAGAAGGTGTAGTTCAAAGGAGTTTGAAACCCTGAATTTAATTGCCTCATTTGTGAGCTTCTCTGAGGGTGGTTGGGGGATTTGAAGAGGATATGCTGGCAGTTGGAGAAAGGATACTAATTTGAGAAAAGGGATGTTCCCTGAGTGCCGCTCATGAACGCCTTTCTAATGTACTGTTTGGTGGATGCTTAAATTGGTTGCTGACTTGATGTGCATTATGGGAGAGAGCACAAAAATGACCATAGACATTTTGGTAAGTTAATTTGCCCAAGCCAACCTCACTGTCGCCCTTCCTGCAGTGTGGATGGACACCAGTTTCCACAGTGTGTGGTTCAAGAAAGATTCACTTAGGGATCCATGGCAGATGAAAATTGTGACATAAATCGCTGAAATTGTTGGATGAAGTCATATTTGGTCTCAGTTATTTTTATCACTGTGTTGGTTTGTCCACTTGACAAGTTTCCACCAGAAGAAAAAGAGTCCCACATGTCCTAATTTCTTACTGTAGCCTTTCCAGGCTGCATGCATTATATAACATATAACACAAAGCCACACGAGGAAGCCATAATTGAATGAGGGGGCCCACTTCAGGGTAATGCACCATCAAAGATTTTTATTCCTGCACGGACTCACTGAAGTTCTGAAGGATCCAAACAGAGCTGCCCGTTAAACTCTGCACCTCTAATTGGTCCATTGTGCGATAATGAGACCTGATGATATTTACAGGTGGGTGAAAGAGACTTTAACAGACAGGTGGGCGTCAGTGGCGGGACAAGAGTAAAGTTCACACCTGAGGACCAGATGACTGTGGCAAGCACACAGGCACAAGCTCATTTCTACATTTCCTGAATGTGTTACACATCAAAGGTTATACATTTGCTTTATGTGTGAAATTAAAGGCCATTTTTCATGTCATCTGGAAATCATCATCATCATCATCATCAAAAATAATTTGAGTAAAGGGCATAACGTCAACCCTAATTTCCTTCATAGATATTATGAGTTAGTAATGAAATCCGTGTGTCTAGACCTTTAATTATAGTAATTGGCTACGTTGCAGTACATTTGGCCTAATGCTACAAATAAACATCCTGCTGAATGTTATGGACTCTGCTCATTTTCAGAGGGAACATTTCTGATATTAAAGAGGTATTTTTGAAATAGGCCTCAACCAGAATGTACTATGACATGTACTGCATGTTCACACTTTATGCTATTACGCCTCCGTGCCGGCAACAGCTTTGGCAGGAGGTATTATGTTTTCAGGTTGTCTGTCTGTGGTCCACAATATCTCAGCAACACCTTGAGAGATTTTCTTTTTTTTTTTTTTTTTTTTTTACAAATTTGGAACAAATGTTCACTTGGACTCAAGGCTGAATTGATAAGATTTAGATTCAGGCAGTTCAAAGGTCAAGGTCACTGTGCCCTCACATCCGTCCCATCCTTGTGAATGTGATACATTTGGAATGCTTGGAGAGAGTTTCATTAGATCTGGCACAAAAATCTCAAGGATGAACTGATTAGATTTTTGGTGGTCAAAGTTTCAAGGTCACTGTAATGGAACGGTAAATGGATCGCACTTATATAGCTTCACACTACAAGCCACATTCACCCATTCATACACAATAAATAAATGTCTTATTTCTTATTTCATTGCCATTAGTTCTGGAGTGGTGGCTTGGGAGCAGTGGTGGAAAGTAACAAGTACACTTTCTACCCTGCATTAATTTGACAGTTTTAGTTACTTGTCACTTTTAAGATGAAAAGTTTGCACAATGGTTTCCAGCCTTTTTGGCCTCTGACATTTTACTATAAGCACTGATTCAGTGAGGGTCACATTTTGTTGTTAACAGCTCCACCAAATAGTGATTTTCCCCTCTAAACTTCTTACTTGGTTTCATTTCAATAAACATTCAAATAATCCAGTAACTCATCAAAATTCAACAGTTAGAGAAAAAGTAAAAAAAAAATGAAAACAGATTTGTGAATTTGTTTTTTCTTCTTTCTTCTCCCATTAATCTCATAACCCCTAGTATGTATCTGGTATCCCTGTATATACAACTGTATATAAAGTAGTTCATGCAGGGCTTTTACTTGAGTATTTTCAAACTGCTGTATTGCTACTTTTACATAAGTAGGATCTGAATACTTCTTTCATCACAGTTTGCTGGGGAGCCTCACCAAGTTCAACTTCTGCCTATTGTTATGTGTTGTGGATAAACAGGACACTGTCCCTTTAAACCGCAGCAGGAGGTGGTGCTCTCTCTGGCACATGAGGGGAGAGGAGGTGGGGTGGGGGGGTTGGATGGAAGGGGAGGGAGGCTTTGTGCGCCACACTGAAGCGAACTAAACGGACGCCGGAGCACCGACACGGGGGCTGTGTCGCTGCAAAAACTCTCCTGCTTCTCCTGCTGAGCAAACGAAACTTCACTTTCAGTGACACACACGCTTCACCTCGAGTTCTCGTGTGTTCAGCGAAAGTTACGTGGAATATAACCTGAAAACTGAAACTTCCCCCCTCGCGTGGACCCCGCAGAGAAAGGTAACATTTCTTCATGTGTGACTGTCGTTTTACACTTTAGCTGCAATGTTCTGTTGTTTTACCCTGATTTAAGATAAGTTGTGCTTTTAGTACTGACACGGCTGTGTGTTTAATGTAGTTTCCAGACTCCTCTGTGGGGTCAGGGGACGTGTAGGTTGAAGTTAAGCCCACGGTGTGAAATCTGCATCTCATTTGAATGTCAAATCTGCTTGTGGACAATCAGCGCCAGGCAGTCTCATCGAGCTCTTGGCTGTCCCATATGGAGCGACAACAATGAGCCCTCTGGCGTCCTCTGTGTCCTCCAATCCTGCCTGCTGGAGACTAGAGAGTAATGGGGCAAACCATAACATTATGAAAGGCACCGCTTTAGTTTAAAGGAAATATCCTCTTGTGTCATAATTGCTTCTTTGTCTCCAGATACTCTGGGAATCTTGGCTTGTTGTGTATGGATCTACATCTTTATAGTCTGTGTCACTGGATAAACTTTTGCTATCTGGTCCTGGATCAGGACCATGAACTCAAAGTTTTTCAGTTTGTATGTCAGGGGGATCTCTAAGTATGGAAGTGCTAGATCACTGACCTGATTAGATTTTGGCACAGAGGACCCAATCCTACTTTGTATAATTCATTATAAAATTACATAATCATCTGTTTTCAAGGCAAGGCCAAAGCCTTAGATGAAAGGAGTCATTAACTAGGTTAAATAACAGAGAAAGTAAACTATTCCACATTTTTGGTTCCCCATTAGGAGCCCCCAAGGGTCCACAGACCTCTTGGACTTGCATATTACAAATCACTAATAACTCAACTTATTCACTTTGTGGATGCTCACTGGTGGGAACTATGCTGCAGAGTCTGAAATAAGCGTCCCAAATAACTATTTTCAGCTGCAGGAGGAGAGGATATGGCTTAATCAGAGCAGATGGACTTTTCTCTGCAGTGGGAACACAAAACACAGTGAAATCTCTGAGAGCTGAACACACTACATGGCTTCTTTCCCCTCATCCCTCACTCCCAGATTCGTCCAGCTTCCCGCTTCATTAGTGAGTCCTGTTTGTGTTTACAGACCTGGCACTTGCCTCTCATGGTCATCATGCCTGATGAACTGGGTAATTTACTCCAGAATTGCCACTTTGGCCGTATACCTGCCCAGCCTCATTCATCATGCAGTAATTGAAGGCCGTATAGTGTGTGCCTGACTTTTAACTACACTGACCGTAAAGTGTGCAGGTCCGTTTTATAACATTTGGTTTCATTATTTCTCGCTTATCATGAGTAATCAAAGCGTTGTTCTTGTTAAACCACCAGTCTGGACAAAAGTGGGATGACATGTTGACTAATGGGCTTGGCTTTGGTGTTGTCTTTGTACGACTGTTGCCCTCTGACCTCCTCCTACACACACACAAACACACAACCACACCCTAACAACAGCCCTAAGGTCAGTCAGTATTTGTCATTATGCCTGATGAATCATTTACCCAGGGCTGTGTCAGTAACCCTGTGATAAAGAGAAATGAGGTAGTTGGGGGGGGGGGGTAATGCTTGACTGTGCACCTTGAAGTCGACTGGAGAGATTTAGACCAAGGTCAGACTCTTGCCTGATCACCATTCACACCAGCTGTGCCACTTTTTCCTGCCGTCATCTTGCCTGTCTGTCTTTTTCTCAGTGACAAAAGTGGTGCATTATCACGCCACACACTCCAGGCCTTTCAGCCCCCTTAGTGTATGGCTTCTCCAGAGCTGCCAGGCAGATATCTCTCCATCTAGATCTATTGTATGCGCTGCCGAGTCAGAGGGGAAGGGAGTGTGTGTGTGTCATCTCTGACTGTGCTTTTTTTTTATTTTTTTTTTATTGGTATTTCAGTTTGCTCTGGAGGATACTGCTGCTGCGTAGTGAGGAAGCTGGCTACCTGCCCAACTCTGAATGCGCTGAGGTCATAACAGTTTTATACTGGAAAGAGGGCGTTCAGGAGTGGGGGCTGGGGAGAGAGAGTTAGACTCATTTGCACTCATGAAAACACTAACTTCAGGCTGTTGGTTAAAGTGGAGGGCAACTAATTTCCTTCCTTTTTTTATTAGTGTTTCTGGCTGCCATATTATGTGGAGTTTTAATGTATGGAGCATAAACTTTTCTCTTTGTTTATAGAAGAAATACAGATTAGTTAACTGGAGTCAGATGTGATAACTTACACTATATTGCATGTTCTTGCTGCTTCTCATCAGGAAATGCCTATGTAAATAGTTTGTGGCTTCAGTAATCCACCCACCTTTATCCCAAGCTCCACAGGAGACCAACAGGGAATGATGGGAGAATGTCTTGACATTTTAGTCCTCTGCATGGTTTTGTTGCTGTTACATAGACTGTGCAAAAGGTCACAGAGTTTGGAGGGAACTCAGTGAGGAATCTGTTTATATGTCCAGAGCAGTTGTCACTACAGAATAAATAGATTTTGAGTCAAATTAAAAATGGCATCTGTAATATGTAGGAAAACAGCTCCTTATTGAAATATTCTTACATTATTGGCAGTGTTTCAGTAACGCACTCCAGAGCTCTAGAGCTGTGGGACGCCTCCTGATTTCTGTGAAGTATTAATCACTTCAAAAGTGAAGGATGTGTGATGTTTTTTATTCAGCTGTTGTTACTGGGAAACATTGTGGCTTATGTTGAACTTCCAAACTAGAGTTGTTTTCGTCTCAGACAATCACAGGATTCACCGCGCCTGCAAAGAAAGCAGCATGGTCTTTGAACTCTTACTGAGGAGGAGAAATCATACTGAGGATGTTTGAGTTAATCTTTGAACAGACTTCTTATGGAAGCAAAATCCAACATTACGCCAACGGCTTCAGGCTTTTTACAGAATTTACAACTTTGAACTTCAAACAAGAGAAACAAGTTAACCAGAAGTCCATCAACCAGGCAATCAGGCTATGTCCACACTAATGCATTCATTTTAAAACAAAAACAATCTGTCCAAAAGAGTGTTTTCACTCCATATCAGAAATAATCTTCAACCTCAGGCTACATCTACACTAATACATTTTCATTTTAAAATGCATCACTTTTGCTATGTTTAAAACTAAGACTTTCAGAACTGCTGTTGGCCCTGTTTTAGTTTGAAAACTAACCAGAGAGGTTTGATACATTGTGATTGATAAGACTTAATCAGGAAGCAAACGTGGAGATCTGCATCATCATTTCGAAAACTCCATTGCTGCCCCTCATGACTAAAACGTAACCCTGGAGTTTTCAGACTAAAACATGGCCCACGCCACTTCCAAAAGTTGTTGTTTTAAGGGTCTGACACTCTCTAGTAGCTTGGACGCTAGGTGTAAACATAGCAAAAATGATGCATTTTAAAACTAAAACTTCATAGTGTAGATGTAGCCTTAGTCCTGGGTTCCTACCCTTTGTGTACCTGGTTGCGTGGATCTATGCTAAAGTAATCCACAAGAAAAACAGCAAAGATTCGAGGAAAACCGAATAAAAAGAAAAAAAAGAAAATGATTTCCTGTAGCAGACACAGCTTTTAACTGTTTTCCTATCCTGTTGATCATCTTATGATGCCTCATATTTGTCTTGTGACCCAGGTTGGGAACCACTGATATCAAGCCTTATGATCAGTCCTGCTCAGTAGAAAGTTTGTATTGAGTATTGAATGGTTTAAGAAGTCAACACAGTTGGTTTTTGAGACAAACCTCCCTGAAAGTCTGTCAGGGTTCAGTTCTCTGTTACTCAAACAGAAACCTTAGCTGATTTTGGCAAAGTGGCAACAAAATATCACAGCTCTTTCTGTTTTTCTTTTGTGCAACAACCCACATGCACCTGACACTCAGATGAGTGCCTGTTTTGGTTGCTATCAGTGTAGCGTGGCTATTGTGGAGAAAAAGAACCAGTTCAACAGGAAATGTTTTCCTTTGAGGTGTAAAAACACTCCTCACTGCAGTTATTTCAATCCCTTCTTGCCAACTCGACAACTCCTAAACTTGTGCTCCAGAGTAACATATTATACAATTGAAGATTTATTGTTACAGCACATCGCTTTTGTAGCACCTGTCATTGTTTATGTCCTGAAGTGCATTGTTTTAAAGCTGCAGAACCAGTTTCGGTAATTATCATGTCTGAGGTGAAGGCAGTTCCAGTGAGGCTGAATGTGGCCAGACTGGTGGGTTGTTCCCACGTTGCGAACATTACAGAACATCCTCTGCAATTTCAATTTTAGTCTTAAGAACACCAGAGAACATCATTATCTATCATCAGGGGGCACACCTGTCCAACCCACGTCCTCTGGAAGCCTCTCTTATTACAGTAGATGATCATACAAACATATTTTGGAAACTGTGTCATAGCTTTGTGATTTTTGACTTGCTGATGAGGACCTGCTGGGAAAGTAATACCAAAGCCTCTGCTCTGAAGGGAAACTTCGGGTTTCGGGTAACTTTTACTTTTATGTTTACTTAATTCAGACTCAAGGTCAAATGTTTGAGATAATTCCTGTTAAACTCAAGTTTTTTTTTTTTTTGGAAATCTGTGAATAGCTGTAAGTATAAATCACCCTTTGTAATTATACTAATGAGAAAATCTTGTTTATGGTTTAAAATTAATAATAACCCAGCAGTTGATTTTTATTTATAACAGATTTATCAGCTGCTTTGTTTTACATCTTTATTAAAATACAGTCAGTCCTCCATCAGCTTTGTCATCTGTAGCAGCACTGTGGAAAACACTACTTAGTATTAACCACTTATGATTGCATTAAAGGAGCTATATGTGAGTTTTGTTATTGCTACATAGCCAGCGTTAGCATTAACAGCTGTTTACTTACCAGTCTAGAAGGAACGTTGCAAGTTCAGCAGGTGGAAAACAACAATCTTGTTTTGCTTCTATTTCTATCACTTCTTTTCTCCAACTAAAGGTAGCATGCTAACCAGCTAACCCTGGCCCAGTTGGCCCATCTCATCAGTTTCCGATACCGAGTAACTGTAGCATCCAGTCTGCCCTG